TATTTGATATGTGTGAAAATAAAAGAATCTAGTTTTGGTTTATGTATCCATCTATCCAACTACGCAGACTTTCAAGCTGCAGAACATCAAAATATCCACCCTCGACCATGTCTACCGCCAGAAGTTAAAAGTACCGGGATTCTCCTACGCACTTAAATTAATATAATAATTTATTTATTCATAGATTATTGAGTATATATATATAATATATATCTCAATACCCATGAATAAAAAATTATTATTTTCTTTACTTTGCAGCTTTGTGCAAGTATTAGCCAATTATTATGATAAATTATATATTTTCTTCTATCTTTGATATATATATACGTAATTTTTAAAGAAATACAAGGAGAAATCCTTATAACTAAGGAATTTTAAAAATTATTTTAAAAGGACCTAAAACGTAATATCCTGCGCTATCACTGTGAAAAGAAGAAACGTGATCCTTATGATTTGTTGGTGATTGTAAAGAGAGACTCCGATTCCCCTTGAAAAGTTGGGTCTTCTGTGGAACCAACAACGACTTTCTTGTGTTAATTGTTTAGATTCACTTTTATTAATCTTGAATTAATTATCAATTTTAATTTAATTAATTATAAATTCCAATTTTGGATTTCCACAAGAGTACACATTTATATATATAAGGATTTTAATGAGTTATTACAACTTCATGAGCCCGGTCAGTATTCATGATAATAGAGATGAAAACCTGCCTTTATTTTTTAAATTGGTTAGTTTGCTATTCAGCAACAGATAGATTAAAACTGAAATAAAAAAGAAGTATTTTACGCTTTCCTAATGATGCGTGAAAGACAAAAGAATTTTATTTCATCGAGTGGCAGCACATTTCTTTTAAACTGAGTTTTCTGATTAAATCTTACGCTTTGTTGAGTGTCTGCGTATTAATTTTAAATAGTCAAGTTTGTTAACAAAAATGTCATTAAATTTGCGCAGAATATGAAATAAATTAAAAAACAAATCTGGAATTCAAAACTCAGACTTCGAAGAGTGCATATTAAGATGAAAATTATGCGTGTTCAAATTTTGGTCGCTCTAGATGCTGCAATCTTCCACTGTGCGAGGAGCATACGTACATACAAACATACTGATCCTTTATTGTTTAATGATACGAACGGCAGGTAAAATCATTGCAAAGTGTGAATCTATTTCTAAAAAATTACCGTATACAAGAAATGATTACCAATAATCAACAAAAATAGGGACTTAGTAAAAGGCCTTTAATTTTATCTCAGTAAAATAAATATTGTATAAAAGTAAAAGATAATAGTGGAGTTCATTCTTGGAATTGACCGCTAGACTTAAAGCCTATTAAAAACACTTAGCGCCAATTGGAAAGATATTGGAAAGAGGGTCGAAGCCATAACCAATTTAAAATAGGTAAAATTCAACCTTGCTGCTAATGATATAGAAAACTTTCAAAATCAAAACAATGAAGACATATAGTAACTTGTTATTTAAGAAGCAAGAAGTTTTCATTAATTATAGGCTTTTCATTATTAAAATACGCATTTTCCTGGAAACAAAGAGAATTTTATCAGCCTTGAAGTTTGTAAAGATTGTTTTGCAACATTAACACCAATTTAAGCTTTATTTTTCAGGATTCTAATTAAAAAATAGCTTTTCGTCTCCTCAAAATGTTAAGATTAATCAACTGGAAAGCTTTAGTGAAAATAAATCGTATTTCAATGAACATAGTCATGAAAATATTCTTTGATTCTTTCCTGTCTGCTTATTTTTATGTACTGCTTTTAAAAACGCCGCTTATTTCAAACTTAACTTTTGAACAATCGGCTTATTCTTTCACGGATCTCTGAAAAATGCCTTTGAAAATCTATTGCCTTTTATTACGTTTTCTTCCCTTCTAAATTTTTGCTTCAAAGATTCTGAGTAAGTAAGATGGACTACACGCTTTAAAGGCTAAACAAAAGCAAATTTAAACTTTAAACTGGACCGTTTTTATTCCAGAGAGAAATATTTTTAATCGGCTGTTGGTATTCGATGGGTCTTCAGGAGGAAACCTTTCAGAACCAGAAAACTAAAATAAATTTTCGTTTTTAGTATATGTTTCCTAATTTTTGAATAAGTTGCTTTTTACGTTTATTTTTATTATATTTAGTTGATACAGATTTATTCGCTGTAGAACAAATCAGGAAACGCTTTTAAGACTAAATAGGCAGGCAAGTAATTGATAGAAATTCAAGCATAGATTCACGGTCAAAAATATCAACCAAAAACTAATTAGAATGCCTCTTAAATTTCTATACATTTATTTGAGCTAAAAAATAATAATTTAAAAAATTTGTTAAATTTGTTTAAATTTAAAAATTAAAATAATAAAATTCGATTGTATCTATCAATAATTTATTTTACGTCTGATACAAACTTTATACATGATCAAATTAAATCACATCGCTTAATATCAAATTTACCTAATGTGGGAAAAACGTATAATAATTGTGCCTCATCTTTAAAAATCTCATATTCAGAGATTTATTCCTTGACTATAAGACAGTGTGATATTACACTAATAAACTGTTTCCACAATTCTGATTCAGGCGCATTTTCATGATTCTAATAAATGAAATGTAATAAACTGGAATCGTTTTACATGTGCCCAAAATGAGTAAAGAAATTGAAAAACATCTCTTTTTAGGCTAACTGCCCTTAGTTGATAAAAGGTTCATTTAATTAATTTTTTTATTTGAACTTTATGAATATTTCAATTTAGACTCACTTGTACGAAACATTCATGATCAGGCAACTGAGCTAAATTTTCAAAAGTAAGTACTTAATGCATTAAAGTTAATGCATTAACGAATCTCTGTTTACGCAAGCTGGAAATATACAAAATACATAGGCATCTAAAATAAAAGTAAAACAAATAAATAAATAAATAAAATATAAAAAAGATAAAATGTTCATCTTACTATTTTCTATTTTATTCCTTAGACTTCTTTATTTTTGATTTTTATTCAGGGTTCCTCTTTATGAAATTATTCTATTTTAAATCTCTTTTCTGGGATTTGAATCTCCTTTTTATACATTTTTTTAAGTTTTCACTCTTTAAATCGTAAAGCCTACCCTGAAATATCAAATCTAAAGTTATTTGCAAAATTGGAATTTGCATGTAGTTTTGGGCTCACAGCGTGCAGAATTCAGTACAAAGAACTGCCATAGCAACAACATTGGCTGTAATTCGGCTGGACATCCAGTCGAATTTAGGTTTGATGATAGAATTTCATTGCATTCCGCTTCAGCCCTAATGCCAGAGTTCATCAGTCGTCATTACTGGCGAGTGGTGGTGTGCCAGTCTCTCGACAATCCATGACAGATGTTCTCAACTGGTAAGAGATATCGAGGACCTGCTGGTCAGGTCAGCCGAACACCTTCCTATTCAGGAACGTCAGGACAGTGTGGGGAACATGTCGTCGTGTGTTTAAGGATGGCGTCAAGCGGCCTTGAAAATAAGGCACAGCCATGGTCTATAATGTGTCAGAAATGTAACGAGTGCTGCATGTATTACCGGCTAAGGAACCAGAGGTGACAGGGATATATACCCAAATGATAGTCCATACCAGCACGCCAGGTGATGGAGTCGTATGACTATGACGAATGCTGGTTGAAACGCTTATTCACCTGGGTAGCTCCACACACTAATAGTCCATCACGATGCTGTACGCAGAATCTGTATTCATCTTGTGAAAATTTATCTATTTATTTTTGACTAATACTTATTTTTGAATTAAAATAACTTTTCTGTCTGTCTCCTTTTTCATCCACGCTTTCCATGCCACAATGTAAATGAGATAGCGCGCGTTTATTCAGATTGACGAAGAAAGAAATACTATTTAAGCGAAGGTTTCGCAAGTTGATTTTACAGTGTGTTCTGCCTACTTGAGAATTTTATCGTTTTATCTACTTGAGGTCCCGTTTATGCCGCGACTAAATAACGATTTGATTCTGTCGCCTTGAGTGCTTTAAGCCATCAGACTTGTCTCGCTGATTTTCTACAAATCAGAGCCTTCCTGAGCGTTATCATATCCGGTAAGCCGTTAGGCTAATCTTACTATATTTTGATTTTAGTTCGACATTACTTGTTTAAGCGAGAAATGTTGACTTGTGTAAGCCCAAGTTTGGTCAGTGTTACTTCTTTGTGTTACAAATAAAAGGGCTATTTAAACACTTCTTCTGGCTTTGTATGTCTACAGTTTGAGACAAGAAGATTATTCCGCTTTCCCTTTGCGGCATGGTGTGCCCAATCTGGGCACACCTAAAAAATTCCCTTTGTATATACAGGAAAATTTAATGGAAAGTGAATTATAGGTTAGTATTGGTTACTCTGAATCTTCTTCATTTATACTAGATGGCAGCACAACACAAAACAGTCCATATATTTTAGCCATGTTTAGTTTTTAAAGACCCTCATTCAAAGAAATCTTTCAGATTTTTTTTTTAGGTTATAAAAGGAATTGTTTGAAAAGAAATTTCTATGTTATTTTCTTGACTTATGCTTATCTCCTTATTCTATATTAGTTTAAAATTTTTACCTTGAAATTTTGCCTAAATCAAACGGCAAACATCTGGTGTGCCCAGAGCGGGATAACGGAGACTCTAGGACGAAACCAACAAATGTATCTTTATTTCACTGCAGTTCTCCGGTGAGCTCATTCACAATAGAAAGCTGGGTCCACATCTGTGTTTCATTTCGTGTTTGTTTTGCGGGTGGAGGGAGGCTTGGTTATCAACAACTAAGAAAGTATTAGGGAGTTTTCTGAACGTCAAGGTTAATTTTATCACTTAGCTCTTTAGTTTTTCACTAGAGCAGTTAACGTTTTTCTTTAACTTTGGTTACCTCTCAGTTTGTTTTGTTATCTCTACGTTTCGATAGTTTTGATTAGTAGATGTTTATTTAATTTTATTTTATAGTTTATATTTTCTAATTGTAGATATAATGTTAGTTTTTTTTTTCTGATTTTTAGTTATTTTGCAAATGGATCGGAGAAGGCTGACCATTTCTGAAGCACTGAAACTGCTACACGAATTGCCTTCAGATAGTGAATCTGATACGGATCCTGGCACATGCACAAAACATACAGTGTTTGGTTGTATTTTTTCAAATGTGATGTCACTTTCTTCAAAATGTACTCTCTTACGCGCTTCCTAGCAGTTCTCGCCTTAGCACTCTTTTTCGAAGCTCTATTCATTCCGTGAGCCCGTTTCGGGCAAATTCACAGAATTAAAAAGGTAAGTGATATCTTTACAAAATTTTACCTGTGCACTTCCCTAGGCCTGATTAGACTGCCTACCATTTCTTTGTTAAAACTCCAACTTTAAAAATTAGCGTGATGGAAAGGGCTGTAGTGTTTCTAGAGCTCATGAATCTATTCTACTAAAGAAAGTGATATTCTACACTTACTCTCAACAAGAAGTAGAACTATGTCACAGAAAACTTCACATCTTAGTATCTTCCCCTCAACATCGCAAGCCCCTTCGACCACCATGAATCCCAAGGAGGGATTTGGGTTTATTGTTTACACCCTTACAGCTGCTATGAAACCAGCAGCAACGTTTGATAGAAAGACCTCAGTTCTAAGTTTTACTGAACACTTAAATTCTCAGATGCGCAGAAAGTTAATATTGCCGCGTCTGCCCTTAGAGGTCAGGCTTCTACGTAGTATAAATATATCGCAAATTTGTCTTGTGTGAGCCTGGTAGCAAAAACTACAACTCCGAGAACTTTATGCAGGCATTGATTAAAGCCTTTCTCATCGTGAAGAATAGAGCCAAGCTCGGGTCAGATCTATTTAGCAAATTCCAGTATAAAATTGAGCACGTGACAGACTTTATCTTCTTACGGAAAGTCCAGATTTTTAATTTATTGTACGGCAAAAGGCCGGATTAAGAATAAATTCAAATAATTTTGCTGCGACTACAACCCCAAATTTACGATTACGTCGATCTGAGAATTTTCATTTTTAGTTAGAAATCCAACAACGTTGGAAAGTTTATTCGAATTAACCACGACGTTTAAAAATAGATGCGTGGAAAACATGAAGCGAGCAGCAGAGTAAGCGACAGGTGAAAGGTCGAAAGAGTGAAGTTTTAAGCCAACGCCTCAGCGAAACCCGCATTATGGGTCGAAGAAGAAATTCGAAAAGATTTCAATCAGCAGTAGCGAGGGTAGAAAAGAAGTAAACAAAAGTCTGGAGGACCAGTTAAACTATAGTGTGGTGCCGGGGACAGGGTCCACTCCTCCCGAAGAAGGAAAATCCCTCCGAAATTAAATTAAACGCTGGAAGTAATCAGAAATTTGGAACTGCCAGTAGCGAAAGTTTTGTTAAATAATATCCCTGGTAAAGCTCACATTGACACCGGAGCTCATTGCAGTTTCATTTAGTAAATGATGAATTTTGATGCTGCTAGTTCCCGACCAGTAAGGAGTAAACCTTATCGATAAGATACAGTTAAAAACATATAGAAAGCTAAACTCAGTGCGCAACAGCTCTAGTGGGGCACGGCCTGCAGTTCCCTTTTTCTGCTTTCTTGATCTTTGGGCTCCGTAGTGCATCAGCATATGCCCTGGACAAGTGGTTAGCAGGATCCCCGGTGTTTAGTCCCCAAACAAACTTGGTACTCATTTTTACGACCCACTTAAGGGATGAAAAGGCTGAGTCAACCTTGCTCAGCCCGGGGATCGAAATCCGGACCTGCGGTGCAGCTGCACGACGTGCTAGTTACTTGGCCACCGGGAGGTTTCATATAGAAGAAATGCTAAATACCAAAATCATAGGCCCTGTCAGCAGCCTCTACGCCAGTCTCGTGGTTTTATGTAGGAAAATAAATTATCTCCCATCTACTAACCACAAAGCATGGCCATTCGAGGTAGATTATAGAATATTAAATAGTATCCCGAAGTATCCTGTCTATCCCATCCCATAATTGAAGAAATAATTCGAAAAATTAAATCCACAAAATTCATAACGACTTTGGATCTTACGTCCGGATATTTTTAAATTGGCGTGAAGCCCGAAGATATACCTAAGACTGCAATTATCACAAAATCCGGTGTCTACGCTTTCTTAAAAATGCCGTCTGGATTATGTGGGTCACCTGCAAATTTCCAGACGGCCACGATCTTGTGGCCAGTCCTCGAAAAAAGCACTTTCATTTATTTATATGATACAATAATAACCAGTGAAATCATCGATCAATATGTTAAGGATTTAAACGAACTATATTTACTTCTACATTAAGCCGAACTAAAATGCCACGAAATATAAGTTCGCTGCTCCAGAATTTTGGTACGTAGGATACAAAATGTCCGGTAAAGGCATAGAAACAGAAGATTAAAAAATAATTGCGACTAAAAACCACTCTCCGCCAAAAACTGCAAAAAATAAAGTTAAAATTATAAATAAGTAAAATTAAAATACAAACTGCAAATAAGTAACATTAAAATTTCTTGAATGATACGTAAAATTCAAATTTCATTTACTAATAATTATAAATAAAATGATTCAGTGTGTATTGGTACTTAATAAAGTTAAAAGATATCAAAGGCTCATGTAATAAAGTATAATATAAAATTCAATTGATTTAACTAGCTAGTTGTTTAATCTTTTGGCATAAACTGAATTTGATTACTTGCGTTGTGCAAAACTGTAGAAAAACATTCATTTTTTTCTTTAAAATTTTGCCTGAAATTTCCATTCCCTTTATATCTACACGGTACTGAAAAGCAACGTACGGAAGATTTACTTAAATTTCGAGTGAAAACCCATTTAGTTATGCTCCTATCCCGTGTTTCTCCTCAAAGTGGCATTCTAAAGCGCCGTAAGTATGTAAAGGATCAATTTTGACAGTAGCTGTTATCATTAGCCAGTTGGCTTTCAAGCGGTATTCTCTTCAAGTTTGTGAGTCTAATCTAGTCCGCTACTTGTGAATTCGGTTTAGGTTTGAATTAGTTGATTACAGGAAAGCACACTAGGACTATCCGACTAAGGAAGGAAGCCTTCTTGAACGACTTTTTAAGGGAAACTGGCTCGTATACACGTTACACAGGAGTAAAACCACGAAAATGCCCATTTTACACAGTCAATCAACTAATCATCAACTATTACATTTTGGTTAGTTTTCTTGATAGGTGTTGAAAAGCTCTATGTGATTAAATGAGACTAACTTCAAACTGAGATTTGGTCAAGAGGCTTTTTATTAGTATCTAATGTTTGTGCTACTCTCTCTCTCTCTCTCAGACTGAAATATAAATTATTAAAACGTGTTCGTAGAAAATTGTAAAAGTATTCGAAAAGGAAAAAAGTAATTTGAATTTATAAAAGAAGGTAACTTTTTTACATTAGCTCACATTCAGGGTCTGCACAGATTTTGGGATTAGTACAATACCAAAGCATAGTATACTAACAAAAATGATAATATGAATGATCTTTTATCAGCAATTTACAAGTTTCTCCTAAAACGCTTAGAAAATTATAAGGTATTTTCTTCCTCCTTTCTACATGCCTTCATGGTGCATACTCGGAACGTATTCGAGAGTTCCGGGTTTGAGTTCTGGGGAGGACCAGTTAGTTTCCTGACATCAAAATAACCTTATGACTCTACAGTGGAGCCCGAACTAAAAGGTGGTGTATAATGGTTCTTCACCACAAGGATTTGGCAACTGGGTCCGTTAATCCTCAGTCGCCCTTTAAATGGGGGAGTATATAAGGTTCGAGTCCCGGCGAGGACGTTGCACATTTTTCACAACTTCTGCCTCAAAATAAACCTAATAACTATACAAAATGTAAAGTAAAATATTTCATATAAAGTCCTGATACATTCCAGCTGTGCAATTAGGATGAACTAATGACATTTCGTACGTAATATTCAATGGGATAATTAATGTACCCATATATTAATTTATGTACCCGTATTAAATTATTCTTTATTACGGTAAAGAAATAATTTCGTCAATTGTCGGAGAAATAGTGGAAAACAGACATTTTACAAGGTGTTACTTCGTTAAATATACCTTCCGTGAACTTGGAATTTAAATAATTTGCTTTGCTCTGTCCCGTGATGTTTCTGTCTCTGTTAAACGTAGGCTAGGTTGAAAGGAATTTTCTCTTTCCTCGCGGTATGCATTCGAATCACAATTCAAAAGCAAATCCGGGTAGTTATCAGAAGGTCCAGATAATCTCGAAGAAAAAATAACTGACTTTCTCACGCTCAATACTTAAAAAAATTTCTAGATGTCCTACATGTGCACCCAAAATAAAATGTGGTGGACGATAATTCGTCCCTCCCCCTGCATTTAGTAGCTGGGTCTGTTCCCTCTTCAACCACCCTTTAAGGCCATCACCCATCCATTTACTTCAGACGGATAACTTGTTTCAGACAATTTTTCTACCTCTTTTACCAGTAAAAAAAGACTCATGATATTTTCCTTTATTTCGCAAAAAATTGTAAGTGGTTCGTTTCCAACAACTAATCAGCTATCAGCATCGAATCCATCGTCCTCAACCATCATTTGTATGGAAGACTTGTTCCCCCTTTACATGGTAACCCCCAGATGATCCGCAGTGATTGGCTCTTTCATATCGTGTGACAAAGCATAAAAATTGTTCTAAAGAATTGTTCTTTCGAAATGTTTTGAATGTCTGATACGACATGGGAGAGAATGCAAGAAATTTTCTCCTTTTTTAACACTGTGTGCTTTAGAGGTTAACTGAAAAGAACATACAGCTGTTATGCAGGAGTTCTGGAATTCGAATCTTGGCAAGGACATAGATAACTTTCTCACATTACATCCTCCAAAAATTCTAAGCAGCACTACAAAGTTTATTTGTTGTGCTCCCTGATTTCTTCTGTTTGATTGTTTATTGGTTTTAGCAAAGCATACGAATTGCTAGCCTCAAAGCAATTTTGAACTATTTTCTGAGGCAAATTGGCTCGTATTCGCATTATACATAGTGAATCAAAACATCAGTGTATCGAAAACACCAGTGCAATCAACTCTTTTGTGCTGAGGGTTTAATTCAGGTCGATCTTCCGAGCAGTCTTAACCACTCGACCACTAATACGCACCCGAAACAGGAAAACATACAAATGTTACCAATTAAAGTAATAATGAGGATTTTCAATCCTATCATTCACTGACTAACTGTACCGAGATTTCAAAAACTAAAAGCGTTTGCATCTATGTATGAAATAACACAATTTGAAAGTTTTTCATAATCGAAAAATTCCAG